TTTCCCTCACCAGCCCCTCCAAACCCATAAGGGAAGCCACGGGCCCCGCCACCAAGCTGTACTCAGAATCCACCCACTTGTCACCCACTCCAGCTGCTGCCTTGGTGCAGCCCCCATCCTTGCTCACCCGAACTGCTGGGGGCTCACTTTTCACTTGTCCCAAACCTTCCAGCTCAGAAAAAAAGCCGAAGTTCTACAGGGTCCTTGGCCTTCGCAGAGCCCCTCCCCGCCACCCCCCCTCCCCAGCTTCTCTCCTCCTGCCGCCCCAGCCTCCTCACTGTTCCTGGAACACTGAAGACTTGCTCCCAGCTCGGGGGGTTTGCACTTGCTGCCTCCCCTGCTCACTCCTCAGCAAGGCCTATGCTGAGCACCCCTCCCTCCCATTTAAAATGGCACCCCGACTTTTTTACTCCACTGTACTTTCTTACCACGGTACTCCTTTCAATAAAATGCGGAATTTACTGGTCTGTTTGTTGGCCGCCTCAGCTAGGTAGAGTGCAAGCTTCAGGGCAAACACTTCTGTTTTGTTCTCAGCTGTGTTCCCAGCACCTAGTACACAGTAGGCACTCAAAATCATGTCAAATTAATGTGTGACCATGGGCAAATACCCCTTCTCTCGGACCTGCTTCGTGGCTTGTGAAATGAGGGGATGCTGCCTGCCTGAGTCACCAAGGGCTGGCATCGGTTCCCTACCCTTCAGTCCCACCTGTCTGGAGGCCTCAGTTGAGACCTTACTTGCAGCCCCAAGTATCCTAACTCAAAGCCACTATGATGAGAACCACAGCTACCTGTTCTTTCTCCCCATCCTCCCTCGCCCTAAATGGGTGCCCAATCTCACAAACCTACAGCTTGTTCTGGCCTTCTCCACAAATCCCCAGGGGAGAAACAGACCCTGGGCCTTCCTCTCCCAGTTTATGAGCTCTCCCGCATCCCCTCCCTCGAGGACAAGCCCTTTCTCCTCCCTTCTTTCCCCATTTCTCGGGCATCCTTCACTGCTGGGCCTCTGGATGGAGCCGGCTGTGCCATCCTTGCCTCCTGCCTCTCTCCTGCAATCTGGTCCCCGACCCCCAAGCAGATCCAGAAAGCCACTCCCAGGTTCCCTGAGGACCTCAGGCTGCTACACCCTAAGATGAACCCTATAGTTTCCTCCGAAATCTGATTTCCCATCACACCCTCTGGCTCTCCTTCCTCCAGGCCTGTTGCTTCAATCTCTGCGCTGACCCCCAGACCTCTGACACGGCCCCTCACTCCAGATTCAGGCAGGCACCATAACCACCCCCCTCCCAGCTCCCTTGGGCCCGCTTCCCTCCCCCAGCCAAGAGCCATTTTCTGACCATCTGTGTGCTACACCTATTGGGTGCTGGTAGTTTTATTTACCCTATTGACACTCACTGCCTTCTTCGCAATGCGCTGAAGCCCACCCGGCTCATCACCTCCTGCTGAGATGACTAAAACTGCCCCCCAACCAAGCCTGGCACCCAGGTCTCCCCATCTCATGCCACCCTACATAATGGGGCTAGACAGAGGATTCTAACAAGCAAATTGAAGAGCTGTACCACCCTATCTTTAAATCTTCTATAAGTGGTGAGGGGAACCCAGCAGAAAACACCTAAGGTTCTCCTTCAAAACAGACTTGCTCAGGTCCTGTGGGGGTAAGGGAACGGAAAATTTGAAGAAGTTTCCTCAAGGGGTGGCAGGATTTACCTTGGGGAGGAGGAGTGCTCGGGGCCTCAGGCAAAAGGGAAAGGAAGTGTTGCCTGAGGTGTGATTTTTAAACAAGGGATGTGTGTTCAAGTAGCGATTGTGTATTCAGAAATTGACTTCAAACTATCTTAAGCATCCAGATGATTCTAACGTGAGCCCATGTACTTCCCCTTGAGAACCAGGTGTCTTGGGTTATAGTTCTCAAAGGGTAACCCCAGAGCATCAGCAATTCCTAGGAACTTGTTAGAAATGCAAATGGTCCAGCCCACCCAGATCTAGAGAATCTGAAACTCGGGAGGGTGGTGGCACCCAGCCACCCAAAGTTTTACAATTCTGTGTCCTAGTGCAGGGGTCCCCAACCCCTGGGCTGTGGACTGTACTGGTCCGTGGTCTGTTAGGAACCGGGTCGCACAGCAGGAGGTGAGCAGCGGCCAGGCGAGCGAAGCTTCATATGTATCTGCAGCCGCCCCCGAGAGCTAGCATCACCGCCTGGGCTCCACCTCAGATCGTCAAACATTAGATTCTCATAGGAACACCGGTCCCTGGAGCCAAAAAGGTTGGGGACCACTGCCCTAGTGCATTGTTTCTCAAACTAAGGTACAGAGGGACTCCCCCGATGGGGAGTCTGGCTAAAACGCAGACTCAGTAGGCCTGGGGTGGGCCTGAGGGTCTGCACTTCCAACAAGCTCCCCAGAGATGCTGATCTGCTGGTTCTCGGACCACACTTTGAGTAGCAAGGGTCTGGAGCTGGGGTAAGCTTGTTTTCTAGGTGCATAGCCACACTCAATCATTGACCTACTGCTGGGCACAAACTATTCACTATCTGGTCCTTCACAGATACAGTGTGCCAGCCTCTGGTCTAAAGGAGTCCATCTTAGCCTGATCCCTCCCCACTCCCTCCCACCCCTTCAGCCTATAGTCAGTCAGCCTCCAACTCTAATTCCAGAAACTGCCAGCCTATCCCCACTCCAAGAGCTCCTTCTGCCTGGTCTATCTCCCCAACCCTGCCTGAAAGCCCAAGCTAGGTCCCAGCTGGCCCTCCCCACCTCCCCACTGCATTATAAACATGCCTGGGCCTTGGCCTCCCTCACCAGCCTGGGGCAGGAACCTGGGTCAAGGTGTTGAGCGGATGGATCTCTGAGGCCCTCACACAACACACAAGACACGCTTGGGAAAAGGGCTCTCTCATCCTTTATCTTCAGGGGCGAGGTCAACGGCCCTCCAGGGCTCGGTCTCGGGCGATGACAGCCTCCTCAAACTTGATCATTAGTGTGGTGCCCTTGTGCCAGTGCGCTGTGACCTTGGCGGGGAAGCCACTGTGCGTGAGCACTGCCTCCACGATGCCTGCCGTGAAGCTGGCACAGTTCAGTGTGCTATTTTCCTTGGGCACCGAGATGTAGGTGTTGATGAGCGGTTCCCGCTCGATGATGTAGAAGGTGCGTGCGTCGTCGTTGGCCTGCTCCAGCTTGTCAGCCTCCTTGCCGAACAGCGCTTTCCACACGGCGCCCTTGACAAACAGCAGGGCGCCCAGCACCTTGGTCTCCCGCCGGGCACCCTTTTCTCGAGCCACCAGCGCATCCAGAACGCGAGCGCCTACCTGGCGACCCAGCGCCGCCAGGCGCGCCTGCAGCTCGGCCACGGAGAAGACGCGGCTCTGGCAATGCTGCACCAGCTCTGAGAAGAGCAGCGCGAAGGCGCTCAGGCTCACCTCGGTGCGTGGCCGCGTCAGCGCGCGCTCCAGCAGCGCCGACTTCCCGCGCGTGAAGCGCGCCTCCATGCCGCCGCCGCCGCCCTGCGGGAAGACCAGGCAAAGCCGGTGTCAGGGGCGGGAGCAGGAACCCTGGGACCCCCAGCCCACCCCCATGTGCTCCTTCGCCGACTTTACACGTCGGAAGAGATGAATGGAAGTAAAAGGGGCATTCGCCTGCGTGTAAAAGTCGCCTCCATTACCCCTAGCCAGAGAAGGACAAAGGGGAAAGGGGTGGGCTCATTCTCGATGAGAGCTTAGGTGGGAGGACACAGGAGGGGACCACAAGGGGGCGCTGGAAACCCTCCCCCAACTCTCAAGTTCCAAGTGAAAAGCACATTTGTGCGCCGTCGGCCACCTGTGGCAGCGACTAGAAAACTAGTGCACGGAGTCGGGGGTGGGGGCATCAGACCTAGGGCTGGGATGGGAAGAGATGGGGAACAATGAGAAACTGGCAACTGTCCCTCTCCCAAGTGCACTACAGCACTTACTTCCTGCGGGTAAAGAGAACTTCCCTGCCTGTCGCCTGCGGAAAACCAGACACGGTGGGTGGGAGTAGGGGATGTGTCGAGACCAACCGCCAGGATGAGACGCTTGGGGAAAAGACAAGATACATGGACAAGCCAGGAGGGGGCGTTGGGAATCCTTTCAACCCCGCGCCTTGCGCGAAGCGCGTCTCCTTGGAACGCGGATGGGCCTGCATTTAAAAAAAGACTGGGGGCGGAGGTGGGAGCCGGCATGGGCGACAAGGCAGAGGCGTTGGGAGCCCTCCACCCTGTGCTCTCCAGAAAGGTAGCTGGACTACGGGGTGGGGGGCGGGGTGGCGGTCAGGCTTGGGGGGAACCAGGAGGGGACGCTGTGATCCTCCACCCCACCGCTAGAAGCCACAACTGTCGGTGCGGGAGACAGACAGAGGGAGATCTGTTGGAGAAAACCCCGACAGGGTGCTGAGACCTGCAGGGCAGGCGGTAGCAAATGGAGGATCCCAAGGGCGCTGAGACACTCTCCCTTCCCCTCCGCCCTCGCCCACTCAAGTGTAAAGCCGCCGCCCAGGATGGGGTCTGGAGGGGTAGCTGAGAACCCTGCCCCCGATAGGCAGGGATGGAGCCAGGGGCTGCTGGAGAGATCTAGGGATGCTGAGCGGGCCCCCAAGAGATCTGCATGGGGGATGGGAAGCCAGCGGGCCCAGGGGCTCCAGGACGCCCCCGCCCCGGTGCGCGGCCGCCTACATGGGGAGGACCCAGAGCGCGAGACTGGAGGGGCAGTGTTGAGACGCCCCGCTCCGGGCTCCGATGGGGGCTAGTGAATCGAACCGCAGAAAGGCAGGGACCCAGGCACCCCCCACCCCGGCGCGTATCAGGCAGAGGGACCGCAGAGGAGCCCATCCTCCTTGAGGCCACCCTGGGTGAACCGGAGCAGGCGGTCCGGAGATCGCGGACGCAGAGACCCCGGCCCAGGACCCAGAAGCCCGCGGGGAGAGGTCAGGAGCTGACAGAAGGGGTCTCACCGGGAACTGCAGCCGTCGGCTCGACCGAGCTGCTTTACGACGCCGTAAAAGGCCCTCTGTGCGCAGGCGCCGTGGCGGGCAGTTGTGTGGGCGGGGCCTGCACTGTGATTCTGAGAAGCGGCCACCGGGGGGCGCGCGTGTCCTCCCGACCAAGGGCTGCGGCCCCACGGCCGGGGACCTCGCAGGCCTTGGTTGGCTCCTATTCACGGAGACAGTGTCATCGTGGTGACATGCTCAGGGGCACACGTTTGACGATGGGCACACTTCTCTTTGTCGGGTACATGTGTACATATGTACATCTCAGGCCACAAACCCTCATGGGCACACAGTAAGGGCACAGGGACTCAGTTACACTCTGCGTACGAATTCATAGACACACAGCGACCCACTCGGGACATCGTTCTTACATACCCTCGTGCCCCCAGCGTTCCTGGCATAACGTCCATTTGTTCACTGTGTGGTTTTCCCCATTCCCCAAGTCCAAACACCCGCAGACCCTCACCTAGGAAGCCCCAAAGTCCCCCAGTCACCCCAATAACAGATTTGAAATTCACAGCATTTTCCCTTGGACTTTATTTCCATGAATCACAAAATATGAGTGCAGAAACAAACAGACATGTGTGTACATGCTCTGAGCACCCTCAGTGACATAATCGGGCACAATCATATAGACACACATTTGTTCATGTGGGCACAGGGAGTGACAGGGCACACACTGCGACACCCACAAGTACAGTGATACATTCCAATGGTATGTGCTACATACTCCTCCACCACGACAATTACACACACAACATATTGCTGGATATCGTGCATGTTTACACCCAGAAACATACATAGGCAACATGTCACCAACACTCACACTCACAGTGACACACTTTTGTGTTCCCTGCTGACACAGCCACCCACCGTGACATGCATGACACAATACACACATGTGTCACATAGACAGTGACACAGGCAAGCATACCACACCCACTGTGACTCCCACATTCAACATTCACCCAATTCACATCCTTGTGGGACACACTGAAATACCTGCCCTCCGTGAAATGCTTACCTCCCACACACACATGCACACATGCGACTTCACAACACTCATTCACCATGACACATGATTTTCTACATGTGGAGACGATAGGTTCAGACCAGGTTGAGGCCTTCATGTTCCATCTTCACTGGGAGATGCAACCCCATCCTCCAAGCTGCAGCCAAGGCTTTCACATCTGGTTGTTTATTTAGATGGGGACACTGTGGTGGGGGGAGGCAGAGATCCAAGATCAGGCAGGTCATCCCCCAAGAGAAGCTAGGGCCAGATCCTGGGCTCTGCCTCCCCCGGCCCCAGCTTACTTTGATTTGACATTTTCTTCTGCAGCATCTCAGAGATTTTCTGCAATTGAGTCTTGATTTCATTTGTGGCTGAGGATGGGGTAAGAAAGAGAAAGCTGGGGTGGGGGCTCAGACAAGGCCCCCACTTTTATTGGAAGTCCCGTCCTTGCCTGTGCACTTGGGGTTCTCAGCAGCATTTAAATACCGCTGAGTGACTTGAAGGTGGCATCCATCACCCCTCCAAACCCTGCATTCTGGGAGGGTGGGAGCCCTGCTGCCCCCTCCCCTTTTTCTCCAACGCTGCGATCTGCCCAGTGAAGGCCCACAAGGGCACCTGATAACAGTTTCTCCTTCCCGTCCTGGACATTCTTCTTGACCATGTCAACCTCACCAAAGCGCTGGTGGATGTCTCTCCAGCCCTTTGTCTGCCCCTCCTGGCACTCTCGTGCTGAGATGGAAACTGAGGGTGTGAGACGGGGAAGTCTGTGTCACTGCTGCTCTCCCTACCCCCACCCTGACCTCTCAGGCCCTCCCTAGTTCCCCACCCCTCACCATTCAAGAGGTCCATTTTCAAGCCCAGCAGCTCTCTAGACATCTCAGAATCTGTTCAGGATGGGGAAGAAGGAAAATCCTTGAAGCACCTCAGTTCTGCAGCCCTGGGAGCAGGGGTGAGGGAAGGGAGAGGGACTGGGAGAAAAGGCAATGGTGGGAACATTGGGCCTCCCCAGCTGTCTAAGACCCTTTCTCATTTATTTAGTCCCCTCCCCGACACACACCAAAACCCAAAAAACAAAAAGACCACTCACGTTTCATCACGACCCAAACCAACAGAATGATGCAAAATAGGGCGAGGAGAATGTACAGGCTTATGGCGGCTCCGTGCAACCAACGAGGGGTCTGGGTAGAGTCTAAAGACGATCTGGACCGGACTGGGACTAGGGTAGAAGCAGGACAGGTGACCTCCGGGACTCAACACTGCCACTTGGACCATCAGGACTGACTCTAATACCATCAATAGCTCTGTCACCTACACCCACTCTTCTCAATACAATCAGCAGCCGTGATCAACAACACTGTCACCATCATGTCCCTCCTTACCGTCCCCATCACCGACAGTCACCAATGTTAGCAGTAGCTGTCAACAACGGCCGCCAACATCAATGCCCACTGGTTCCAGCATAGTCTTCATCGACAACACCCTCATCAGTTCTGTCTAGGTGATTCCTTCCCAATTTACTACATTGTCACCTACTCACCATAACTCAAAACTTCACCAACACTTACATCTGCACAATCATCACCACCACCTACAAAGCTACCCCCCTCACTGTCACACACAAACCTTAATGCCGCCACACCCCACACCACTGACCCTGACTTCCACATTCTGCTGCTGTCCTTGTGATGTCCTCCCATGGACCCGTCCCAAGGCTATGGGATGTGGGCTGGTGGGTGGCTGCTCACCCTGATTCTTGGGTGGTGAATGACTGTCCTTTGACTGGTTCTGGTTTCTGAAGGTCAAGGTGATATTTTCATAGTCAGGGTCATCTGCATCTGTGGGTGAGTCAGTGAGAAAGGTTTGGAAACCTGCCTAGAGCTCTGGGGTGGGCATGGGGATGGGAGAGAGGCTCAGAAATCTTGGTTCACCTTACCCCTACACACAACGCATTTCTGGGGATAAAAGTTAAGGAGTGGGGACCTAACATCTGCTAATTGGTTAAAAGAAGAGGGTGTGTGTGAGCATTTGATGATACACACACACACACACACACACACACACACACACACACACACACACACGAGCTTTCTGGTCCCAATTCTCAGCCCCTTACTTCTCCCATACCAACTTCTCCCTCTTGTCTGCTGCCCCCATCCCCCCATCCCAAGGTGCCTAACCTTTTTTATTGGCTGGGGCCCCCCGTTGCTTGTCTTTAAAGGCTGCTGCCTGCATCCTGGCCTGGTTCATGTAGATTTCCTCAGCTTCCATGGTCCCCAGTCTGCCAATTTGTCCACACATATCCCCACCCACCGGAAGGTGTTACGGCAGATGAAGAAATCTCCCGGTTGGGGTGCGAGGGAGGAAGAAGAGATCAGCCTCCTCTTTTCAGGGATCCCGGACCCTCCAACCATGGGGCATCCTCACTGCCCCCCCCCAGATCAAGAGAGGTTTTAGGAGACCAGAGTTCTCAGGGATGACCAAGAAGAGAAGCCCACAGACCCAGAGACAGAACACAACGATCAGGAACTTGTGATAGACGTGTTACTAACACCTATGGCCATCATTTTGCATTATATAAATGTATCAAATCAACACATTGTACACCTTGTATTTATACAGTGCAATATGTCAATTATATTCAATAAAATAAATTTAAAAATTTTGATGGTTAGAAACTGTACAGGAAGCTGTGTGTGTGGCTGGGTGGGGGAGGGCGTCTACCTGGATAAACCTCGTCCTCCTCAGAGTTCCACCTTCCAGGGTAGGGACAGCTAGACTTGAAGGCAGGATTCCTGGGTCCCCACACCTTCCTCCCTCCTGCCCCAACCCCACCCCTTTGCTTCACCCCAAGAAATTGTCTTTCCTCAAGGCCCCATGGAGGAAAGGAACGGATGTGAGGCAACAGTGCTAACCACCGAAACCTCCCACTCATATCTGAGACCGAGGCCAGACCCACACCTTGACTTTCCCTGGATCTATTTTTCCCTCAGTCTGGAGACCCCAGATGGAGAAACACTCAGAAACACTCACTCCTATCCACACATCTGCTCATCTCCCTAGACTCACACACACATACTTGCACACACACACTCCCAAATACCCTTGGTCACACATCCGCTCATGTATAACACATCGCACACCCATTCATATGCTTTCAAACGTGCTTAACCAGAGAAATATACATATTCATGCATTCACATGCCTACATTCTATCTAGGTGTCTTAAAGCTCTCTTTGTGTCTATTTGACCTTGAAATCTGGGAATAAACATGAGACAATGTGTATAGGGAATTTTCTCTGTAAATCTAGAGCAGTGCCTTCCAAGAGAAATATAATATAAACCACATGTTTAATTAAAATTTTCATATAAACCTAAAAGCAACAAATGAACAAGACAAACAAATGGAGACTTATGGACATGGACAATAGATTAGTGGTTACCAGAGGGGAGGGGAGAGGGAAAGGTAGATGGGGTAAAGGGGGTCAAATATGTGGTGACAGAAAGAAATCTAACTGTGAGAGGTGAACACAGTGTAAATATATATACCTCTTACAGTTAAAATGTACAGCTGAAACTTATTGGATTTCATTAACCAATGTCACCATAGAAAAATTAATTAATTAATTAATTAGTTAATTAGACATTTTCTAGCAGCCACATTAAAAAAATCAAAAGAGACAGGCTAAATTGATTTTAATAATATATTTTATTTAACATATACCTAAAATATGATCACTTCAGCATGTAGATGATATTTTAAAATAATTGATACAGTTTACTTTTGAGAGGTATTGAGTCTTCAAAATCAAACACGTATTTACACTTACGGTGCATTTCAATTCAGAAGGGCCACATTTCAAGGGCTCAATGGCTGCCGTATTGGACAATGCCAGTCCGAGGTGTTATAGTTTTCTCCCTTTGGAAAAAAGAAGTAAAAGACTTTCTGACAATGTGCGGGAAGTGTTCTGTTCTAGGTTTAAAATATGCGATTAAATTCAAGATAGGTTTGGAATGGTCCCTCAAGATCTGGTGAGGATAATATTCTCTTTCCTAAACTATTGCCAACCTTGTCTACTCCAGGAAGATCAATTTAACAGTGATTAGGCGCCAGCTCCTCTTTCTTATGGAATAAAGCAGTCAGCGCTTGAGCAATTCGGCCCTCTTCTGCTCTAACAGCCACAGCGGAGACGGGCCAATCGGGCTGGCTCTGCTCCAATGGACAGATTCCAGGGGCGGGGCCACAGCTTAGCACATTTCTGTGGCTCACATGGAGCTATGACCTGGCTCCAGTCCACTGGACCTTCAGAAAAAGGCAGCCGTGACAGTGTAGACCCACAAGCAGTCATGTTACAGTGGCCTGAGAGGGCTCCATAGGGTTATCTGACCATCCCCTTTCATGGGGTAAGAATCTCTATTTCTTTTAAGAAACAAAATGTGTCCTAATCAGGGATTGGCTTAAGGTGGGCACATGATCCAGGTCCAGCCAATCAGAGTCTAAGATTTGGCACAGGGGCAGGCAAAAGAACAAGACTCAACCAATGAGACTCAGGACAGGAACTTTTGTTGTGTTAACCAAGAAAAATGGCATTTTCTCTTGTTTCACCCCCACTCCCAGGGCTGTCGCACTGGGAGAATGTAAACTTAGAGCCCTGACAAGGCGAACCTGCATGAGAGTGAAACCAGTACCAATAAAAGCAGACCCTAGAGAGACTTGAGTCATGGAGACATCATTTGAGACCCTGGGTTTGTTGTAGCAGCCAGCCCCCGATAGACACATGGACCACCAGAAATCAGTGAGTTATGGGAAACGCACTCTTTACTCTACCAGCTGAGTCTGCCAGGGGTATGCAGACCCCAAATCAAGCAGCCCTGAAATGTAGAGGTACAAGGTTTTTAAGCCCTAAACCCCATTCTTCATCTTGTTTGAACTCAAGTCTATTTTTCTTCTTTTTACTAACTGTCAACCCACAGGTTGGTTGTCCAAGCGGGGGTACAGAAGCAGAAAGCTTATTGTTAGAGCGTTATGTTCCCATGGGCAATAGCCAAGCAGTAATTTTCCAGCCAGCACAGGTTCAGCTTCCTGAATCCGTTGATATAACACTGGGCCTCTCAGTTATATAATCCAGAAGCTTCCTTTTAACTTTTGTTCAAACTAGCTTGAAGTGGGGTCTGTGGCACTTGAAGACTCTTGGCTACCACAGGGACCTAGGCAATTGGTGAATAGAGCAACAGAGGTTCAAGAAGGGGGCTTGCTTGTCCAAGGTCACATGGACAGTAAGATATGATTTCCAAGTTTGCACTTTGAAACCAGACGCCATTGAGGGCTCTGAAGAGGCCCTTCTTGGGGTCCGGTTAGAGTGGGACACATGCGTGGGGCTTAGAGACAAAGGCATACACATCAGGGCCTTGGGACAAGGGAGTGCTCCTCCTCCCCCAAATCAGTGAGGGAGAAGGACCGACAAGACACTAGATTCGCCTTCTCTGGTCCTAAACACACTTTGACTCAGCGGTCTCACTCCAACCCCATGGCACGGTGGGGTTAGGAAGGAGGACCTGAGAGGGGAATCACTGGGTTGGGATCTGGATGGCTTCCATAGGCACCAGAAATGTTCATAATCTCTGCTCAGGGCCCCCAGGATCAGACAGGGGCTGATCCTGTGCCATTATAGGGGGTGGGCAGCAGAGAAGGAGAGTCCAAGACATCCTGAAAAACAAACGTCACCCTAGTACCCATTCTCCAGCTCCTGGAGCATGGTGCTGTGACTTTTGAGTTTGGGGTCCCTTTTAAACTGGGCACCAAGAGTTCTGAAGTCTACATATCTCAGGGGCTGGATTTTAAGACCCCAGGTTAGGATTCTCAGAGAACTGGACCCCAAATCACCTGGATTTGTGCACTCGGATGCTGGGGTTTGCCTTTTAGGGAATTGAGCCCAGATTGAACTCACTATCATCTAAACTGGGGTGGAGACTTGATGTTGGAAGCATGAGAGTCTGTCTAAGGTTTATATGTGTTTATATGTGTCTATGTGTCCCCATGCGCCCACGCCCTGTGGGCATGTCTGTGTATTTCAGGAATGCGTTTCTGTGTCCATGTGTGTCTGTGGGCATAGTACCTCTGTCTGACAGTAATAGCTGGATTGTGTCCTGTGCATGCACGTGGCTATGTGTAACTCTGTGTGTATGTAGTGCACGTACACCTGGGCAGTGTGCCCACGTGGTTCATTGCTATTTTTTTCAGCAGACGTTTCCTGAGTGCCTACTATGTGCCACAATCTCCTTTAAGCACCAAGGACACACCAAAGAGCAAATAAGTACTGTGTCTTCATATTCAAGTGTTCATGATGGTGTGCGTATGTGCCCCTGTTGACTGCGGCTTGTAACTATTGAAAATTGCACCTGCACATGTGAAAACTTGAACTTGTGATGTGTGGCCTCAGGTAGGAGTTCTCAGCACGTGCGTGTGCACACACACACACACGTACATGCGCGCGCACGTACACACACACACACACACACACACACACACACACACACACATACCAGGCCCCGTGAAGACTCTTTTCTGTCCACAACGCTGGCTTTGCCTGCGCCTTGGGGTTCCTTCGATGGGGTGGGGAGTGACGGGTTCAGGGCTCTAGGCTGAGAGGATTCAGGCATCCGCCCTGACCCTGGGGCTTCTGAGGCCCTGGAGTGTATGTGGGGTGGGGGCGGGGTACCCTGTCCCATCCAGACCTAGACCCTAGATGAAATCTCGGAGAGGGAGGCGGGGCGGGGAGAGAATGGCCATCAACTTCCGGGAGGCCCAAAACCCAAGGGTGACTCCAGACCTGAGGGTGACCATCAGGGAGGCCACGAAGGAGGCCATGCGCCCATTCTCTGAGGTAGAAGTGGGAGCCAAGATGAAGGAAGAGGAATGGGGCAGAAGAAAGTCGCAGTCACTCCCCACCGCCCCCGGCCTCCCTCCAGCATCTAAGCGCACTGCTCAGTCCCCCACACCCTACAAAGACAGAGCAGCGCCCAGACCCTCTTCATCATCTTCTCCAGTGTTTATTTCCAGCCCCGCCCTCCGAAGCCTAGACTCGCCCCTCCGAGGCCTGGCCACGCCCCCATGCCACGTGACTTCAGCCGCTGGCCAGCATACGACAGCAACGTGCTCCCGTCCAGTCTATGCCCGCGCACTGGCAGTGGCAGGTTCTCTCTGCGCGCACATCCCACGAGCCACAGGCAGAGCCACACGTGCAGCCAGTGACAACGAAGCCTGCCGACAGTAGTGGAGGAAGCTTGAACCCCAAGCCAGCAGCATCGGGGATGGAGATCTGGGGCCTGGAGGCTCCCACACCAGGGAATGGGAGCCAGTGCATGGGCTGTGGGGAGGCTGGCGGCTGGGGCCCTGGACGCCACTGTCCTAAGGAAATGGGGTCCCGCCTCTGGGGCAGGGAGAAGGCTGGGTATGCGGACCAGGACCCTAGAGACGCAGAGGCTGGTCCTAGAGAAATAGAGGCTGGGCATGGGGAAGGGGATTACAGGGTACTGTGAATAGAGTACAGGGTACTGTGAATAGAAGTGAGAGCCTGGATAATGAACTTCTGTACTCACCTGTGGGGCAGGTGACCAGGTCGCCCCTGGAGGTGACACTCCGACAGTACAGATCAATGTTTTTCATCGTCTCAAGAACTGCAGGAGGGAGGAGGATGAGTCTGTGAGACCAAGCTGTCCCTCCCCCGTTCTCATGCTGCCCAGGCCCTGGTGGCTTGGAGATAGGCAGGGGGTCAAGAAAACTCCCCCAAGGAAAGCCCGGGTGGTCCAGGCCCTTGTGGAGAGCCCAGGTGATGGGGAGCTCACCTGGGGTCTGTCTTGAGGTGGGCATTTTGGAGGAAGGAGGGTTTGGAGCTGTGGTTAAAGGTGGAGCTGGATGTGGTTGGGGTTGGGTTGGGTTTAGGGTTGAATTTCGCTTAAAGTTGGGTTTGAACTTGAGGTTTAGGTTGGGCTCAAGGTTGAGGTTTGTTTGGGATTGGAGTTGTATTGTGGTTGGGTTGGGTTTGAGGTCAAGGTTTGAACTTAAGGTTTAGTAGGGGGTTGAGCTCGAGGTAGAGGTTTATTTGGGATTGGGTTTAGGATTGGATTGGTTGGGGTTGAGCTTTAGTTTGGGTTGGGTTGGGGGAGATTGAGCTATACTCCGGGTCTGCAATCTGAGGGGCCTCTGAGGCCCCTGCTGAGATCGGATGTGAAAGTCCTTACTTAGGGAGCTGGTGACATCCTGGATTTTCTTATCAATAGCTTCATCCACAGGACACAGCAGCCTGCCACACACCAGCATCCCCAGGACAGGGAGAAGGAGGAGGGAGAGAGCCTTCATCCTGCAGGGGCTGAAAGAGGAAACCAAGAGACCCACAGCTGGGTCAGCCCCTGCCCATCCTGGTCAGGCCCACAGAGCATGTAGGATCTTGAACCCTGGGTTCCTTTAAGGGACAGGGCTGGGGGACCAGCTTTGTCCCCAGCTCCCCAGCCAGGGCTCTGGGCAAAAGCAGGAGCAGCTGTCACTTACCCTTCGAGCAGACTCAGCAGGCCAAATCAGATGTGAATTCCATGTTGCTGCCACATCTTCCTTTTTAAGGCCTCAGGATGTGGGGCTTCCTGTCTTGGGTAATACATCCCTTGGTCCCTTCCCCCCTTTCCACATCCAGGGCCAAGAGGAAGCCCCCAGAACAGACCAGGGCCCCCCCTTCCCACATCCGGACTGGGACTGGTCCAGGCAGAAGCGCCTGAGGGATGATTCCAGAAGCCATAGTCTGAGGGACAGGTAGAGAAATGAGTTTGCATGTAGGAGTGGGGAATGCAAACATGACCATGGTTGCCGTGGGAGAACTGTGGACCCTGTTCATACCCAAATGCCTGTCAGCAATGGAGTGGACAAACAGAACACAGAACCGCAGTTTATTTCCTCAGTGGGACGATCGCCGACAGCCTGTGGCCAGATCCAGCCTGCGGCCAGATCCAGCCTGCCATCACTTTTGTATGACCCATGAGCTAAAAATGATTCTTACTTTAACGTCCCCGTGGGAGAACTGTGGACCCTGTTCATACCCAAATGCCTGTCAGCAATGGAGTGGACAAACAGAACACAGAACCGCAGTTTATTTCCTCAGTGGGACGATCGCCGACAGCCTGTGGCCAGATCCAGCCTGCGGCCAGATCCAGCCTGCCATCACTTTTGTATGACCCATGAGCTAAAAATGATTCTTACTTTTTTTGTTTGTTTCCAATAGAAATGGATTTTTTCAGTTGTGGTAAAAGACACATAACAACATTTACCATTTTAACCACTTTTTAGTGTCCAGTTCAGCAGCATTAAGTACATTCACGATGTGGTACAACCATCACTCCTCTTCGTTTCCAGAACTTTCTCATCTTCCCAAAACAAAACTCTGCATTAAACACTAACTCCTCATCCCTCACCTCCAGCACCTGGCACTCACCATCCTGCTTTCTGTCTCTATGAATTTGCCCATTCATACCTCAAAGAAGTGAAATCATATGATATTAACCCTTTTGTATCTGGCTTGTTTCACTTAGCATAATTATTTTTATGATTTATCCATGTTGAAGCATGTACCAAGACTTCACTTCTTATTAAGGCTAATATTCTAATTTATGTCACATTTTGTTTAACCATTCATCCATTAACGGACAGCCCAGTTGTTTCCACCTGTTGGCTATTATGAATGATGCTATCGTGAACTTTAAAAGCAAAGAGTCCCTGCTTTTGATTCTCTTGGGTATGTATTCAGGAGTGGAATTGCTGACAATGTGAAAATTCTATGTTGAACATTTTAGGGAGGCACCAAACAGTTTTTACATTTTTAAATCATTGAAAAAATATTTAATATTTAGTAACAGATGAAAAGTATATAACATTCAAACCCTGGTCTCCGTAAATAAAGTTTTCTTGGCACACAGACACACATGCTTTTTTAAATATCATCTGTGGCTGCTGCCATTAGCACGTCAATGGCAGAATTGAGTAGTTGTGACAGAGACCATGTGGCCCACAAAACCAAACATGTTTTCTATCTGGTCCTTTATAGAAAGACCTTGTGCCCTACCCTGGTTGACAGCAATGAGTGTGAATGAGAGATCGATGTATGGATTGCAGCTACATGCAACGATCTGGCTGATTCTCACCAGCATAATGGTGAGCCCAGACACGAAAGAGAATATACCACACAGATCCATTTATTATGTTCACACACTTTTCTTTATGCACGCTACATTTCAATAAAAAGGATATGTGTGTGTGAAATCCCTGTATACAGCAATGTACACAGGGCCAAATATAGGCAATGTTTATTGAGTATTTACTATGTGCCAGATGTTGCACTAAGCATTCTGCATCCAGTAGGGAGGAAGGGGGCACTTCTGCCCTCTGTGCAGTTTGCCCTTGTCTGTCGGGAAGACAGACACCAAGAGAACACTCAGTCAGCCTCCAATTTCACCTGTCATCTGTGCCCTGAAGGAGAGGAACCCCATTCTGGGAGAACTGACATAAAAATCTGGCCCCAAAATACAGGAATCCAAGAAGGAAGTTTTTTGTGGAGGGAGAGATGGCTGAGCTGAAGTTGCAGGATGAGCAAGCGTTAACCAAGAGGACAAGCCAGGGAGGGCATTCCAGGCGAGGGAACTGCCTGTCCTGGGCAGGCCCTGGGCAGAACAGAGGGTGCCAGTTTTGAAGAACTAGAAGAAACCTAATGGGGCGAGAAGGTGGAGAGCCTGATTGGGATAAATGAATTCCATGGGATCCCTCCCTTCTTTGCAGACCCCGTCAACCAAGAAAAAGTTTAGGCCGTAATAAGAATAAATGGCATTTATTCGAAGGCCGGGTATGTGAAGGCAAAAACCACAAAGTGTAATTTTCTTGCAAATGAAGTGTTGCTGGCTAGGTTACATGGCTTAGTTAGTTTCAATATGCAAATGAAGGGGGGGTGAAAACCAGGAGAAGGTCAGGTCCATATGTGTCCAGTAGCAGTTGTGTTCCAGGGTGTTTATGGCTCAGCAGCCTTGAGCTGAGTTTAGCAACAGGTCAGCAGCTTAATAGCAGCTCTGAGAGCTGAGGCACAAGCCAAGCAGAGGCCTCACTTCCCTAATAGCCTCCCAAATCTGTTTCAAGTGAGCCTCTTGGCAAGGCTTGTTCCATTTTATTTTTTTTACGTTATCGGCCCCCACAGTTTGGGCACAGGGTAGCTTGAGGGAGTGGCAAAAATCATTTTTCAAGAGCTCTCATTTTTCAAACCTTTTAGTCTTTTCAGATAAAAGCTTTTGAAGGGTGCAGCAGAAGTGGGCACCTCTGATACAAGTTATGTGAGAAGCAGGGGGAGTATGTGGAACCCCTAGGGTTCCCTAAAGTTTGAAAAACATTGGGTCAGTAACAGGAAAAGTTTGTGTGTCCCTTAATTCTATTTTTTAAAAATCCTTGCACTTCCCCTGAGTTCTACCAGTGACTCTGAGCTCTCCTGGCCTTAAGTTTGCATCTAATACTAATAAAATTTTCAGAGCCAGGTCTTTAAAGTACAATAGGACAGTCACATCTTCGTAATTTTTAAAAATCAGTTTTATTGAGATATAATGTCCATGCAATAAAACTCAATTATCTTAAGGGTTCAGATGGATGCACTTTTACAAATGTATACACCTGCATCCTGCATGAATGTTTTGTTTTTCCCGAGTATTTTTATTTTTAAATGGTGTAGTTTACATACAGTAACATTCACCCTTTTTAGTGAGTTCTATTGATGCCAGACTGGGCAAATTTCCCCCCAGTGGGGCTGCACCAAGAAAGAGGGTTCTTTGAGTGCAAGAAAGAATTCAAAAGCACGCCAAAGTTAGAGTCAAAAAGAGAGTTTATTCGAGAAGGGGTGACGCTCCAAAGACAGAGCGTGGTCTCCTCTCAGAGCCAGCGAGTGAGAGAGCCTGAGAGAGGGACACAGAGACAGAGATGGTGACAGAGCAAAAGACAGTGAGAGACTGAGAGGCACCCTGCGTGTTTTGGGGAATCCAGTTCATATATAATCCTTAGTTTCTGTGAATTACAGTTTAAAGACTTTGTTACCCATTTTCCTTTGATGGTGTGGGCATACAGTGAGACAGGATCAGAGTATGTAGCGTGAGAAGGTAAGAACATGGAGCGTGAAAGGCCTGCGGGCAGTTCCCAGCCTGTGATCCAGAGGCTCCCCGTGGTTTTAGCCACAGGGAATGAACGATTCTATTTTGCGTAGGGCGCCACTTAAAGACTGTTTTTCCTGTTTTCCTTCCAGGGTGCGGGGAAGTGGGTTGTCAGCAGTCCCGAAGACATCGTCCTTCTTCTGCAGGTGTCCTCGGGGTCTGGCCGCCGGGCTGCTCGGCATATTGCCCAGCGTATTGCCATCCCTGAATACAGCTTGATTTAACACTTGTGTTCTCTCGTCTCCTCCCTACATTACTATGAGTTTCAACAAATGCATACAGTTCTATAACCATCACCGCCAAATAATTTAAATTATAAAAAAAAAAAATGGTTTCCCAAAGATCTGAAGGAAATCTGTGTCCCGAAGCCACAGAGAAAGAGGGTTTTTCTGCCCCTTACAACTGGGGTTCCTGTGCACTGGAGACCTTGTGAATGATTATAACTGTTTCCAGCTCCTCTCCCCTGATCTACATCTGCCCTCGAAGGATTGTTTTGAACAAATGGCTCTGTGTCACTTGGTGGACTAGGAACTGCTGCCACACTTTGGGGAGCTGACCTGCAGAGGCAACCTGCACTTCTGATTGGGCACCTTGCTGGATGATAACTTGTTGCCCCGGTGACTATGTTGCGATGGCACGTAGTTCTGCCAAATCAGAAAAAGGTCATTGACATTTGCTTTCTGTCAGTCCAACATGAATGACAGAAAAGAAAAGGAAAAGCTTTGGAGCATTGTCAGATTTCTTTAGTGAAAAGCTGGAGAGCTTTGCCTTATTTACAGAAGTACTTGAGGGCGTGGGTGTGGATCTGCAGAATGGGAGAGGACAGGTGGGTGGCTCTGGCAGGACTTGCTGGGGCCAGGCCAGTGCCTTGGGGCAAGGAGCAGCCTTGAGGGCGGGTGATAAAAATCATGGCAATTTGAAGCGTTAACCACCCGAGATCCCACAACTGCCTTCCAACTTCTCCAGGCTCTTTCCTCCTCTCACAATAATGATCTTTTACGTGGCTCCCCAGTGAGTTCTGAGATGATCATATCTGCTATTTGTTGAATGTTTAACCCTGTGTTGAGCAATTTTCACATAGGATCTCATTCAGCCACCACTACCCAGTCAGGTAGATATGCTTATTATCTCCACTTCACAAAAGGGGACGCTGAGGCCCAGAGAGGCTAAGTGACTTGCAGGGGTTCACAGGGTCAGTTGGTGGAGGAGCTGGGATTTGAACTTGGGTGGTCTGGCTCCAGGACCTGCACATTTCATCCCCCAGAAGTGCGTTTTGGGAGGAAGGGGAGAAAGGGGCTCCCTGGATGGCCACGGCCGCTTTCCCAGCTTTTCTTAAAAAAGAAAAA